CTCTTGGGAATCTCGGGGGCCTCTTGGGGGCCTCTTGGGGGCCTCTTGGGGGCCTCTTGGGGCCTCTTGGGGCCTCTTCGGGGCCTCTTGGGGGCCTCTTGGGAGCCTCTTGGGGCCGCTTGGGGGCCTCTTGGGGGCCTCTTGGAGGCCTCTTGGGAGCCTCCTGGGGGCCTCCTGGGGCCATCTTGGGGCCTCTTGCGACCTCCTCAGAAGCGCAAATGAGAGCTGCCCCGTGAGAAGGACAAAATGAACCGAAAACCGTCGTAAAATCAATGTTTTTGCTATGAAGGAAGATGAGCGCGGCCCCCATCAGGACGCCAAAATGAGGCCAAAACCGTAGTAAAATCAATGATTCTGGCTGTAAAGAAGAGGAGGGGGGCCAAACGGTGTCCCCCCGCCGGGGGCAGAATCCTCGTGAGGGGTATCGTTTTTTAGCCCTCCCAGGAGTCGAAAAAGACCCCTCCAACGACCCGCGGCCCGCCCTCTCCAGACCCAGGGGAGGGGGTAGGGGGAGGGGGAAACCCCTCCCCGAAGGGGAAGAAGGGGGGTTGAGGACACAGAGAGCTCCCTAAACCACTCACGCCCAAAGGGCTGATCTTCCGCAGGAAACTCGACTTCCCCAAAATCTTCAAAACATCTCTAAGCCAAAATGTGCGAACACCTCAAACCTAAAAACAACTTCAAAACATCTCTAAGCCAAAACCTGGGAAAAACTCAACCCGAAACAAAACTTGAAACCGAAACTCCCGGAACAATTGTAGCAGAGAGATAAAAAAAACATATGTTTGATGTTTGGGCGGCCAGATTGTTCTTAGATAGTGGTTTTAGAAATGTGTTGTTTTGTTTAGTTCCCTAGCCCGTCGGGTATTGCGTTGTGAGTTGTTTGAAGTTTTCCCTGAGTTGTTTTTGAGTTTGTCAGGTGGTCAGGAATTTGTTTAGATATGTTGTGTTGAGTTTTAGAGTATGTGTAGTAGACTTTTGTTGTTAAGGTTTCAGGCGCGTTGAGATTTTAGAGCTGTTTCACGAGTGTTTAGAGGTGTTAGGTTTTTTTGTTTGTAGAGTTTGTTGCAGAGTCTGTTCGAGTCTTTGAAGACTTCCGGTTACAAGTTTTGTGCACGTTGAGATTTACCCAGGTTTCGGTTTAGAGATGGTCGGCAGTGTTTTCAGAGTTTGAGATTTTCGTTGTTTTAAGTTCAGAGATTGTTGGACGTGTTTTGAAGGATCAAGATGTTCGTTGGTTTTGGCTTCGATATGTGTTGATTTTTTTATAATGTGCAGATGTTCGCAGGTTTTGGCTTATGGAATTTCGGATGTTTTTTTTGAGTTTGCGATTTCCGCTGGTTCTAGCTTAGATAATGTTTAAAGTTGTTTTAGATTTTGAGGTGTTCGCTGGTTTTGGCTGAGAGAGTATTGGGAGTGTTTCTAGAGTTTGAGATGTTCGCAGATCTGGGCTTAGATATTGTTTGAAGTTTAGGGTTTGAGTTTCTTCGCGCGATAAATCTGGCGGTGGACCGCCTGTAGTCGCTATTGCCGATCCTAACACCTGCTTGCGGCAAGACGCGCTACCGTGCCACCCCAGCACCTTGGGTGGCGACTGTTCGGCTGTTAGGGGGGCGCACAAGAGGCCGTACAGTGAACCCGCGTAGTAAGGAATGGCAACCTTCCCAAGAGTACCCTTGCATCCTTGCCCCTTCGGCCAAGTCTTGGCGACTTTCGCGGCCAGCCTTATTCGAAAGACGTTCACATGGGCCTTCCAAGGCCCTTGCATCCATACCGTCATCATTACGATACGGGTTGACTGTAACTTGTGATACCTCGTGTCCCGAGGCTTCAGAGAGCAGTAGCAGGTGGCACCACCTTATTCTGCGTCGCGTCGGGGGTCCTCTCGTCTTCGTCGTCTTCGTCGTCGTCATCCCTCTGTTCCGTTTTGCCCTGGGCTCATGTGGTCCTTTTGGCCCTATGGACCGTCTTGGGCCCCTCTTGGGCCGTCTTGGGGGCCACTTTTGCCGCCGAGTGGCTCTCTTGGCCGCCTGCGGGGTCTCTTGCGCACGCCTTTGGGTCGTCCTGGGCCGTGGGGGCCCCTGGAGGCGGGCCAGCTTTGGGGGCCTTCTGGGCCGACTGGGCCCTCCTTGCGCTGTCTTCCGGCCGCCTTGGAAGACTATTGGGCCACAGGGCGGCTCTCTTGGACGCTTCGGGGCGGGCCATCTCGGGGGCCTCCCTGGGGCCGCTTGGAGCTACGGGAAGCCCGAAAAAGGTGCAGTCACCTGCTTCATGTCTTCTGGCCCGGGGGCCCTCCTTTTGCCTCCTTGGGGGCCATCTCTCGACTAGACGTAAGAGTGACCTTTCGCCGGAGTGACCTTTGGTGCGGGCACAGATTGGTCCCCAGATGGCTGAAAGCGAAGCAGGAGCAACGGCTTGCGCGCCCAGGTTTGGTCCCCACGCGGCCCTCAAAAAGCCGCGCACCAAAGGTCACTCTTGCCCAGGGTCACTCTTGCGTGTGGCCGGATCTCGGGCCGACTTCCGGCCATCTTGTGCTTCCTTGGGATCAATCGGCGGCCGTCTTGGAGGCACATTGGGCAATCTTGGCGGCCTTGGTTGCTTGCCTCGGCTGTCGTGAAAGCTCGGGGTCGCGGACCCACAGTTGTGTTCTGACAGATCGTGGTGTCGGGAGCGCCGATCTATCGTGTATGTTACGAGAGATCGTGACCACAGGAGCGCGGATGCATTGTTTGTGTTATTCGGGATCGTGGTTTCGGGAAACCACGGGCGCGAGGACCCATCGTCACGTTCTGTTACCAGAGAGCTTTGCCCCAGGATGGGGGGGGCGGTGCGCGCAGAACTCGGCTGGTAGAGGGGGTGCCTCAGGAAGATGTACAGAAGTCCTACCAGATCACACTTGGCATTCGATTATGCTTGAACGTATCAGGGGGGCTTGTTGGCGAATTCCCCTCCCCCTTCTGCCCTCCTTCTTTTCCCGTTGGCCAGCATGGCGGAGTCCACCGACCCATGCGAGTTGTTGGCACCGATAACAGCAAACCCAAAAGTGCCCATGGCAGTAGGCGAGCTCACCAACTGCCACCACGACGATCTACCCGTTGCACCGTACAGATCCAGCCATACCGTCAATGCACATTGTACCCATGCACGTGCCACACCCAATTTCATGTAGTTTCAATTTCACGCCACCAGGAAACATTGAAGGATACAGACATAGGCGAGGACCACCGGCTGTAGGCACAGCTACAAGAGCGACGTCGAGAAGAGCGGACAGGTTACGAGCACGAGCACCAAGACATGCTACGGAGGCGTTTCTCGGGACACATGTGGCGTTCCACCAAACCAAATACTACCGCACATCCCGAACACCTGCGCAACGCCGCGGCCAATCTTAGCGGCCAATTCCACCACCACCCCCTCCAATCCAACCACCCAAACCAAAAATGCCAGCACCAGCATCTTTCCCAATGGTCCCATCCACCCATGGCAAAAGCACCAACACCAGCAGCCATTGCAAACCCATGGAGAGCAGCCGACAACGGCAATGCAAGGCCATCGCCACCTACACCCATGGCTACTCCTAAAAGCACTCTACCGGCACCCACCGACGACCCGTGGCGTAACGATGATAGTGACAGCGATTATTACAGCGACGGACCAAGCCATTCACACTGACGTCGTTACCACCACACCCACATGATGAGATTAATTGCCCACCAGGATGGACAGCATACCGCACCATGAAAGGCGACAGTTGGAACTACGTGATCTGTGACAACGAGCAGGACAACCTCTACACTTTTCAGTCCCCCAACGACTAGATTCCCTTCGACACGTGGTACAGGTACCTCGGCAAATTCAACATCGAGTACTCCGTTAGCAACAACTACCCACGCGTGCTTCCACATCCATTGCCAGACCACCAGGCAGCACCACTATCCCACTTCACGATGCCGCCAGCAGAGCCAACAACGCGACTCACCCTCAAGAGCGCAACTAAAGGTTACTTACATCTACGACAACCACCACGACTCGCAGAAGCACGTAGAATGAGATTGGGAAGTTCGACTGGCGACATGCAGGACAGATACAATGCCGACCTCGACTTCCGCATCGACGTAGCGCTAGCCATATAGCTCATCCACGACAAGCTCACACCACTACACGATGCAACCCCCGACGCCAGAACCGTTGCGTCCTTTGCAACTGTATCGCAATGGATACGCGCTTTCCTGGGCAGAGACTGAGCAACGGATCTTTCTAGGACGGCGGCGGTGTTGAACAGGACCAGTGGCAAAGACGATATGCCGACACAGCACTTGATACATGGTACATGCTTCGCTTCGACTTCAAATTCCTACGCCAGCACCATCGCAGCGACCTCACAAACTCCGCATCACACTGATCAGACAGCTTCACCGGTGGTTACACGGACGTTCAACACGCAAGCAGACAACATGGCTCTAATTACGGAGCATGGTCACGTCCCAAACCGCACAATCAGCCGCATTCCACAGCACAACAGCCCGAGATTTCTATAGTATGTCCACCACCAAGTACATCGACGACTCAATTATCCTGCCTTGTCGACATTCCACCCACACACCGTACACCACAGACCCAAGCAACCATCATGGCATTCTTCCCGCCCAAGGCGCCGCCGCCAAGGGAAGATGGCCAAACGAGCTCTATTCCTGTACCCACAGGTGACAGGACACGCAGGACGCCCAGCGCCAACGACATCAATGCTTGGATGCGATTCGACACGCACCAGCATGGGCACGAGGAACACATGGAAGACGCAATCAGGCGCACTGCCTAGGACCACGCGGCTCGCAACCGCCCCCTCGAAAGCGCGCCACCTCTAAACGCACCTCGGGCTTCCAAACCCAGATTCCCGACATTTCGACCAAGGCACGCACCGTGTCTGGTTTTGATAGGAGTGCCGCAGTCGCCGATCTCTCGATGTCGACAACAGCGACGCGACATCCCGTGCGTTGGAG